CTGTTGTTGTTGACAGTGACTGACGTTTCGACAACCTGTACGGTAGTCATCTTCAGAGCCAAAGTGAGTTGTATCACGTCAGTTGATGGTATTATACTCTGGTTATTCATCTGATTGGTCAATTACGTCGCGATGTTATTGGTCGTCTGCCAGTTAAGCCGCGATGTTATTGGCTATGAAGACTCGTAATCACTAATTGGTGTGTTTCGATCCGTCTATTGTCACAGTTAAACAGTTGTCTATTAGTCAAATTGTCCGTTCTTCAGTCGTTCTCTCGTAGGTAGTTCTTACATGGGTAAAACCGGCAGAATTATTACCTAGCGAACACAAAGCAAATGAAACAAAGGACAATAAAATGGCACGAGCCTTTTTACGGAGCTAAAGCCTCTTTAAGCAAATTCAGGATGAATTACTTAAAAACTACGTCAAAGCGAATATTTGAAATCTATATATGACATTCGAGGCCAATAAAGAATTCATGGAAAGTCTCTCCTTACATTCCTCCCACCTTAAGAATTTCGACATCCTCGTCGAAGAAAGATGAACTATAGGTACGTAAGGCTTCTAAGACGAAAAGGGCACTGATAATAGAACTAGGAATTTTGATCTCACTCTGATCTGTTACAAACTGCTCGTAAACTTCTTCTCCCTAAGGCATATCTTTACGGCACAACGTACTTGAAATAAGCTGGACTAAACGGTACTGAAACATATGACTCTCGTGACAATTGCAATTCCTATGAATCTCTTTTTCGTGTTTCGTCTGCGTGGAACGGTACTTTGCTACAGAAATACTTATGCTTGAGAGGCTCAAGATCCAGAAGACGACATCTAGACTTTGTTGACTCAGATCTACAGGTCGAAAATATTAGAGCCTGCCCGAATTGATTAATTAATTTTTTTACAGAATTTTTTTAAAGAATGAGGAATTTAGGAATACAAGATTATATTCTTTTTAACTTGTTTCTTTTTGATATCAGAGACGGATGATTCTCTTTTGTAATGACTTAACATAAAACTCTGGACCGCCTTCAAGAGTTATTGATCGCATCTGAGCCGCAAGGAACGTATTTGTTGATCGTTATTGACACAGTGGTTGTATTTTTATGATTTATATAATTCTTAATGTTATATAGTGCTTAATTCCTACTTCAAATATTTCTGTAAATTATGTACATATTTTTAAAGTTGAATAAAATTATTGTATTATTATTATTATTATTATTATTATTATTATTATTATTATTATTATTATTACTATTTCGGGTGAGCAAAATGCGTGCCTGCAGTCGTATTCTTGGTGGGGTGCTCAGCGGCACCTTTCTATCCACAATCTTGGGGTGTTTTTGTTCTTCCAACTAATATGCATGGTATGTGGCCGCGAAGGCCCTGGTGTTAAGTTTAAGGTCCATTTGATATCCCTACGGTAATGACGAGAATAAGGCAAATTTCCGAAACATTTGGAGCAATGTTTGTTCGATACTTTGATTCGTAAACACATCCACACTTAATACGAGACTTTTCGATTGTCCATGCCCGCCAGAAACCTATTTGCCAAGTGAAAGGAAAGTAGAGATCTCATCTCAGCTAAGTGAGGGAACAGCCTTACAAGTGATTAAAAAGTCTAAAATGCATCCAAGCATATCAGCGTTGTTAATCCAAGGTTTAACATTGCTTTCTATTGATTTATTACTGCGTCTTCACGACTTTGGGTTATTGAACACTACTTCACCTTAGGTCTTGTCTGTGTTACTGTTTTGATTGTAAGCTTATCTAAGCAAAACTTTGTCCTTTTGAATTAAATGGTCGATCTCAATTTGACTCTTGTTTACTTTGTTGTTCAATTCAATTTACGCGTTGGTGATTCCGGGGTGATTTCCTCTGTTGATATTGAAACTAAAATAAGTTTATTCGATTCTTTACGTACATATTCACTATTTACTCACAGCATCAGTAGTCACATGTAAACAAGGCGCAAATGTTCCCCCGCAACTTCTGACCATTGGTTACTGCTAGTCATTATTGAGCATAACAAACTTTGTGGTAGCATTGCAGAAAAGAAAGTTTGGCGATTGTACAGAACACTTTAGCTGATATGATTGTCATGTTTTAATCACACAGCGAATATGTGAAGATCATTGATGGAAGCGGTAACGACATTCTCAATCATACAGGGTGCGCACCTTTTACCACAGAGAATTTGTTGGATGTACAGTTTGGCTCGTCCGGTAACATCTCAATTCAAGGGTATTTAGGAAATACTAAAAGCAGCGTGAAAATCAAGTTTGCTATTTTGAAAAATGGCATATCTTCAGGTACGTTTTACTGTTTCTTAATTAAAAGAGCTAAATATTGTAGACCACAGACAAATAGACCATAGACAATCTTTGGGTTTTATGCCAACTGGTACATGGACTGTTTTCCAAATAATTTGAAATTACAATCTTCTGCAGTGTTATTACCTTTTAGTATATACACACTCAGTGGTGATTCAAGCAATCTGATTGGTTCGCTATCTCGGACTATGACGTTATATTCACCGCGCTAGGAGGTGAATATAAAGCAAAACAAAATCGCTGTCGTGAACTGGGTGTTTTGCTAAGTTTCAGAGTAAGAACTTTTTTTCAAATACAAGAATATCCCACAGTTGATGATTTTGAAGGTAAGAGAAGACTTCATGGTGTGTTAACAGCGTGATTTTATTACGAAGTGATTTACTGTAGTTGACTTTCATACGCTCGAAGCAATGTTTTTATTGACCACGACAGCGGAAAAGGAGGCCGCTTTGTCACTGTTTTGTGAACACGGGATTTCCTCAAAGACCAATTTTGCCTGCAAATAGAAGTTAATTTACGGAGAAAAAAAGGAAAGCAAATATTTTCGAAAACTGTAGGTGCCACCAAGTTAACACAGGGGCGGATCCAGGATTTTTTTTTTTTTTTTTAGGGGTGCACTCGTCTCTTGCTCTACTTCAAGACCGATAAACCACATAGTTTTCTTTTTTTGGCAGAATACCAGTTGTATTAGAAAACCGCAGGTCATCTCAGGGGGGGGGGGGTGCGCACCCCTGCACCCTCCCCTAGATCCGCCGCTGTAACATGGCAAGAAACACTGCACTGCAGATAAACAACGCTCACCTCGATCGTAGCCGCTGTAGCTCGCTGTTGACAGCATTTGCAAGAAGCGACAAAAAAACCGTCTCATTCACGGTGAGTTGACAGAAGCAAATAAAGCTCGGTGTTTCTTCTCAAAAAGGGGAGTTGTTTAATCTTTCAACGTTTTCTTTTCAATCATTGATGCTAAAGTTTACAAACCAATTAAAACTATGATTTGCCATGTTTGAAAATACTATAAAGATCTAACGGTTGTGCATCTGCTGTTTACGGCTACAAGTTCACGCATGAATTCACCCGTGAATCAAACTGATCGTTTTTTTCATGGTTTCCTCTCTGATTCTGTTGAGATCACTTCGTGTGCATATAATAAAACAATTATTCGCCGAAGGCGAAGTTAATATTGTTGAATACATAACAAGTAGTTACAAATAGCGATATTTTAGTCGTAGAGTGTTTAGAGTCCCTTTGTTTGCTTACGATTGTTCAGATCGCGCGTGCTCTATAAAGGCGGGCATCTTAGTTTTAATCCGTTCGCTGCCACCTGGGCCGAGTTGTTCAAAGCTGGATTAAGATAACCCAGGGTTAGTGCGAGATTGAATTCAGATTTGAAAGCTTAAGAAGCATTTCAGGTTTAATTCTTTTTGTATACAAGTTGATGATTGGAAGCTCAAAAAATCACAGAGAAAATTATCCGAGAAAATGCTTTGAAAACAAGAAAAAGTAACCCAGTTTAAATTTAACCCCGTGTTAAGCGCTAATCGGCCTTCGAACAACTGGGCCCTGGGTAGAATAGACCTTATGCATGATACACGCATGCGCTTCAGGATCGATGGAAGAGAAGCAATGTCACGTGGTATTTCAGGAGTAAACAAGCGATAAAATAAGCCAATACGAGTAATCTCTGTTCCTTTTATTTTTACTTTTTTTCCAGCTTTACCGCTTTCAGGATGGAATGTGACTGTGTTGATGTCCAGTTATTTTGGTTTTAGTATTCAATGGTCTTCGCTTCGGTCGAACGTTGGTCGGACTGCCAGGTTTTACTTGATTCTTATTAACAGTCCAGCGGGAAATTTGCTAGTTGTAGATTCTGTCCCAGGAAGTGCGACAACTAAAGATATCGCCGGGCTAAGACCATCAACAAGGTACAGAATTAGTGTGTATGGAATTGACGAGACTGGACAAGCATACAAAAGCAGTGAACGTCTGGCTTCAACCACTTATGGTAAACTACACATTATACATTGCATTCTGTTTCTTGCTACATGCAGTAGACTGAATAAAGGTGAAGGGATTTTAACCTAAAGGACAGGCCTAGGTTCTCTAATAACAACTGTGCTAATGTAATTGCTATGGTAAGCGCCACGAAGGTTCATACTCCCTGCTTTTAGCCCCACTTCCATGCATGAGCTGTAGCTCCCTATCAGTTCTCTACTATTAAACCATACCCGGACACAACTTACATGTAGCCTACTAGGTTTTTTTTTATAAAATTATCTAATGGAATCAGACAAATCTATTGCCTTTTTTCTTAATAGACATTTACCCCATCTTTTGGGTAAGATGAGAAAAGACCTTCGTTGTAAACCTATATCCTTCAATCTTTTAAGAGTGCAATTCCACCACACTAATGTTGTTGATTGTAGCTGTAATTGCTAGGATTGCCTTTCGTGAAAGCTTTTTTAACTCCTTGTTATAATATATTAAAGATTAATTACATATAAGTACATAGTTTCTTGGTTATAAGTTTTACTTTGAATTTTCTAGCTAATTTTTTTTATTTTTTTTATATCCAGTGTCCCCAATTAGCTTCACTAGCTCAATACTCTTGACACGTGAATAAACTTTATGTATGTAACTATTTATTTCTTAATTTTTCTATTTCATATAGTATTTTGTGGGTCTCGACCAGGTACTACTAGTCGAATTGTTGGTGGTTCAGTTGCAAGAGTGAATAGCTGGCCGTGGCAGGTGATGTTGATCAGAACTTCTGGAAGCCAGTTTTGCGGCGGATCGTTAGTAGACCCTTATTGGGTGGTGACCGCTGCACATTGCGTTAACGGAAAATCGCCGTCTTCTATCAAAGTGAAGTAAGTTACGCTTGAAATATTTTAAAACCAGAAATAATGCTTCACTGTAGGAACACTTGGGAGAATAGGTACAAGCTTTGGGCACAATGATTTCTGGGATTGTTTGCGTGGACAAGCTTTTGTTATCATTGGTCGTGTATTCAAGGCAATTATTAGCCAGCCATAAGCAACGGTTTTCTTCCCCCTCCCCTTTACCCAAACCATCCTAAAAATCGTTGCGCTGGAAGCTTGTACCTACTTTTTCTGGTAGCTTCTGGAGTGGGGAATTGCTGCCTACCGTGATCATTGACCCTATGTTCACGATTCAAATTATTGGGTCTCTCTATCCCGACAGCATACAGTAGTAGGCTGGGATTTCTGATTCTGTGCATACAATTTCTAGTGATTCTGGCGCGTTAATATATTGTTTTAATTAATCTGCGATCAGGTGTCAAAAAAGATATAATAGTTGTAATAGTTATAATAATTAAATTAATTAATTAATCATCAACAACGATCACATTTTTTCTGTATTAAAAGGATAATCATTATTAAGGATCGTTTACAATCATAATTGTCCTTGTTGCTGTCATCGTCGTCATCATCATCATCATCATCGTCGTCGTCGTCGTCGTCGTCGTCATTATCATCATCATCATCATCATCATCAGCGCGATTGTCGTCGTTTATTATAGTTGCTAAAGTTTTAAATATTAATTTTAAATGGTAGGTACTTTTTTTCTTATTTATTTTTCAAGGTTGGGAGCTCACTACAGAACAAGCGGCAGTGTTGGAACAGAACAGGAAATCGGGGTTGTACAGATCATCAGGCATGAAAATTATTATGACCCGTTGAGCTATAGCAACGACATCGCCCTGATTAAGCTCTTAAAACCTGCAAATCTTGGAGTTGGCATCGGGCTTGTCTGCCTGCCTGATATGTGCCACGCTCTCCCTTTTGACAATTTAAACAGAAAGTGCTGGATAACAGGCTGGGGTACACTGTCGTCAGATGGGTCCCAGCCAAATACCCTCATGGAAGCTGAGATACCACTGGTCTCCAAGCAACGTTGTCTGAATTCCTACCCTGGAAAGATTGATGATTCGATGCTATGTGCTGGCCTGGATGCAGGAGGAGTTGACACTTGTCAAGGCGACAGTGGTGGTCCATTGGTCTGTGAGTTTAACGGTACATGGTTTCTTGAGGGTGTGACAAGTTGGGGTCACGGATGTGCGTATGCTTCAAAGTATGGAGTGTATGCTAAGGTTAGAGAACTGAAAGCATGGGTAACCAACCATATTTATCAAGCAATACCGCCTGCTGTTTCGCCACAGAACCAATCGGTGTCCGCGTTAGGTAAGTATTTTAAACACCTTTTACATAACCCTTTCTTGTAAATTAAAAGTTTCCTTTCTGTCATCATCCATCCAACGTTTTTTTACTGGCAAAGTTCAATGACTCTAGCAAAACATGCAATCGAAGCGTTGTCAGTGCCACAGCTTTTATAAACACTTGGGATTTCGTTATTAAAAATATATTTTGCTAGTGATGTTTTGGAAGAAAATGAATTAGTATAGGTAATAGCATGATTTCTAGTGATATTTGGCATAAATACCACGATTGATATTTCGAAATTGTTATACGTAATTTCACCAGCCGTTAGGCAAGTGAAATTTGAGACAATTTTAAAATATCATGAGTGTTATTTAACCAAATATCACGTTCAAATCATGCTATTATTTGTTTATACTATTACCCGCAAAAGTTTTGTAATTTTCCCGTGTAGGTATTTCAAATTAAGCTAAAATATCACTCCTCTAAACCAATCAAATTGCAGAAATGTCACACGTAGTAGTATAACTGAATAAATAAACGAAAGAACGAACGAACGAACGAACGAAGGAATGAGTAAGTAGATGAATAAAAGAGCGTACGAACATTCGAACGAATGAAATTATGAATAAACGAACGAACGAACGAATGAAGAATGAATAAATAGACGAATTAATGAAGGGGTGCATGGACAGGAACGAATGCATAAATTAATTTATTAGTTTATTTTACTTACTTAGTGTGGTGTGCATTTGACAATGGATTATGCTCGGTTGGAACCAATCTTCTTCAGATGACTTTGATTGGACACTTTGGTTTGGTTCAACACCATCAGGATCTACTGGCCCGTCTTCTGGGCAAGGGGGATCAGGTTGGATTTAGTTCAATTAATTTCTTTTAGTCCCAAATTCATCTTCAATTCAGAGGAAATGAGGCTTCAATGAAGTTCCCGTAGTCATTGGCATGAAATATATTTTAGTCTATGTTTCACGTGTCATATTTGTAACGAGACAATATTACGTGTCCGTAGCCATATATTGCAATGAAGTAAAACTTAATCTATAATACGCGTAAACAGCTAACGCCTCTGCCTGTTAGTAATCAAATAGCATGGAGCAATTTATATCTTATATAGATTTTTATGTGCTTTTCAGTCAAAGGAAGCTGTAAGAAAATAAAGATAACTTTTTGGGGCATTTTGTTAAAACAAACAAAAACATCAACAACAAAATACAACACAAAGTCAGTCACGTGTGTACAGTATGTTGCCCAGTATCCGGCCACTTCAGTTTAACATTGCAATAACTTTCCTTTCGTGGTCGCAAGAGCTCTGACATTTGGCCCACGGACAATCTATTTACGCCTTAACATGATGAAAGACAGTTTAATTTTTTTGCCTTCGCTTCCATCGCGGAATTAATATCTTTGCAGAGCTCCTATGTTGCCCAGCATCTGGTCACAACAGTAACAACATAATTATGCATAGATATGGACAGGCAAGCGACTTTTTAGCTCCTCTTGCACTTGCAAAGTAGTCTGGCATTTGATTCCAAGAATATTAATCGACCTGGGAACCCAGCATCGTGAAACAAAAGATAACAAATAATAACCGGGGTATGGTGGGGAAAACTACGCGAGCGGCTGACCAAGGTTGCAAATGTGGAGAGAAAAAAAAAAGGAAAAAAAAAGGAACTAACAAATAAGACAAAAAATAAATAAATAAATAAATAAACGGAGAAGGGCCCTTCCGACTGTCAAAGGTCACTCTGCCTTTTAGTCTGAGCTGCAGTGTTGATTTCTTCATGCTCTGTCCCCACATTTGGGCTGCCGTTGTCTAGCACTAATTCCTCTTTCTTGAACTTCACATCTCTCAATCCCTTTGGGAAATTTTTTCAGACCGTTGCAACCCCATTCTAACAATCACAACTGGGGGATTTGTATGATAATATTGTTTCAACTTCGACGCTTCCGGAACAAGCCGTGCCAACGAAATCAATTCGCCCTTGAATTTCCATAAGGAGTTGAGTAGAGTTACCTTATACAGATTATTATTATATATCCTAATATTTAACTACTGTTATAGATATAAAATAAATCTTGCCCGGATAGTACGCAGCTAATTCATCGATTCTGCACAGAAAAGAAAAAAACTGGCAGGATATTGGGCACCTGACATCAATACTTAGTGAATGTTTCTGGCCTCCGTTATTCCAAACAAATTGAATTTCAGGAAGAATTTATGAATTTTCTGACAACCTGACTTCTTTAAGTATCTTCACTTTAAATATAACACAGTTTCTTTAAAAATATCACATATTACCAATCCTTATTTGAACACCACTAGTTTTACTGCGCGGTAAACAGCTTAAATATTAGCCATGGAAAGTTTACTCACCTGAACAGAACGGCGCCTTCTTCAACTGTTTCTCAAGCTGTAAACCCGCCAAAACTTTCTGATTTTCTTCAGCCTCCATTCGAAATACTTTGTTTACCGAAAACTGAAAAGGGCGCTACAAAAAATGAGTTTTTGTTTTAAGGTGATTCCCTAGTTTTGCACTGCGCATCTCTTACTGCGCATAACAAGATGGCCGCCGTAAAAAAGAGCAGGTGAAGTAATATTATTAAAATGAAGTTGACTGAAGAGAAACGCCATTGGAATTTTTGCTTGCTGCTGTTTCTTGCCGAGGTGAGACTCAATGTGTTGGGAATGTGCATAACGTATGCAGTACGCGTGTTGCTGAGTTCGACCTCCTCTCGGAGAACCTCGATAGTGGATGTTTAACTTGTGCTTACGCACTTTGATTTTCATTTAAACACTTTCTTTATCACATTGTGTCCCAAATGTGACATCTCTATGTAAATTCTGTAAAATCGGATTTTTTTAATACTTTCTTCCCCGTTTCACATACATTCTATTTTGAAACTCGCCCCAGTCCTCTCTCAAAAATCGGAGAAAATGCGTTTGGTGCGCACTTTCTGCAGCTCTAGCGCAAAAACGGGTACAGTGACCCCATTTTTTATTTCATGATTTTAATAAGGACAGTGCTTCCTTTCGATGAGAAAAAATTGGCACAAATCTATGTTCAGTTTTTTTTTGGCAATTTTACTAAATTGTACGGATTGAGCCATCACGGGTCGAAAAGCGCGTCAATTTAATTCTGCTTTGGAGCGTAAAGTAAAACAAAAGGGCATTAAAGGCATTTTTCTGGTACGTAAGTGGATGAACAATACATTAAAGTCAAATTCTGTGTGATGTCACATGCATCATCGAAAAAACCTCTCCTTGTTGTCTAGTTTTGCTCTGCCCGCAGTTTTTGTAAAAGGGTCCTAAATAGCCGTATTTGTCAGCATTGTGACGTCAAAACGAGCACGGTGACCCCACTTTTATTACTTTTTTATCATCTTCTTGACTTGTTACATCAGTGTACCAAGTTTTAGCTAAAAAATCTATGTTAGGTTCTTTTACATGGAATCACCTTAAGTGGCCGGATACTTGGCAACATACTGTATCGTCCTCTGTTGATTGTTAAAGTAATATTTA